GGCTTCCAATTTTCCTAGATTCATACTTCATACATTCCATGTTCTGATGATTAATGGATGTCTGCAGCTGTTTCTCCATAATTTGAGTGGTGCCACATCAGCAAATGGAGGTCTCGAAAGCTTTACCTTATCCATATGAGGAAGGCTGGGTTTACTCAGATGTTGCAGCTCTTTCCCAGTCCTATTTTGAGAGCCTCCTAACCTAACCAGACTACTGATAAGGTTACGCGGTAATGTATCAGACAGTTTTTCTTTGCTGTTCATAAGGTTTTCCCTGGCCAATTCTTTGAGAAGTGGACGGCCTCTTCCTTCTTCCTAGTCTGTCTCAATCTGTAAACTGGGCTGATACCTGTGCACCATGTGGATCCCTCTGGGTTTGAAACACCAGTGGCTCAGCCTCAAAACTCACATCAACACCTCACCATGGTAGGACAAACTGAAAGACAAGTTTGTTCCCCTGTTGGAAACCTCTTCTACCACCCTTACCTAGGTCCCTGTGGTGGGCTGGGACTTAGATTATTGGATACTGGACATGAGGAGATTGATCCATCTGGGATAAAGTAAGTTACCAAAATGGTAATGAACATGTATTGTTTCGGCTTATGCAGAAGTATTGTTTTATTAGACAAGGGAAAGATATGGTAGTTCTTGATTATATGACATATTCCAGATACAGCACACTGTGACCTGTTTGTTTTTTTTCTTTAAGTACTGTATGCAGTGTTGTAGTACATAATTGGTTGATGTTAACACTCTGAGATGTTTGCTGGTAGATATTTATATGTAATTATTTCCACCTCCCAAATATAGATAAAGATCTTATTTATAAAGATATTGATAATAAAAGCCAGCAGTAATGAAAACAATGAAAAAGAAATATTCACCTTATAGCAGAACTGACTTATCACAGTGTTCATAAGGGAACTCTTTAAGTCAGGGACTACTTGTGCTTGTTGAAGAGATGAATTGTCACTTGAAGATAATTAGTGTGATGGACTAATTGTTGAGTCTCAGCAGATTGGCATGAGGTAAAATAGTGTTTTAGGAAGTAGGAAGCATTATATGGCAGTGGTTTGTTTGATTTTATTGAAAGCTTCTTGAATAATCTTAACTGAGTTGAAAATAACGAAATTAAAAATATTAGTCATAAATATAATTGATAAATGTAGCTGGTATAGAGATAACTGTGTAACAGCTTTGAAGTCATTAGCCAGCATATTAAAGCAAGTTAAATTGAAATTTCAAACCTTGTCCTCAATTATAATACCAAATAATTTTAATTGCAGATTCAGTACCTCAAGACAAACTCTTATGTGGATTCCAGATTCTTTTTTTTCCAGGTATTTCATATAATTTATTAGTGTATCATTTTATACATACTGGAGTATATGCAAGAATAGTAAAAAATTTTGTTGACAGTTAATGTATAAAACCAGAAAAAGCAAACCCACTGCCATCAAATCTATTCCAACTTACAGTGACCCCTGTTGGATTTCCAAGGCTGTAAATCTTTACAGAAGTCTATTGCCTTATCTTCCTCCTGCAGAGCAGCTGATGGGTTTAAACTGCTGACCTTATGGTTAGCAGCCAAATGTCTTATCCACTATGCCACAGAGCTCTTTATATATACAAAAACAAACAAACAAACAAACTCACTGCCATCAAGTCGATTCCGACTCATAGCAGCCCCCTTTGGGTTTCCCAGGCAGTAAATCTTTGCGGAAGTAGATTACCCAGTCTTCCTTCGTGGAGTGACTGGTGGGGTTGAACCCCCAGCCTTCTGGTTAGTAGTCAAATGCCCTAGGCACTACACCACCAGAGCTCCTTCTTTATATATATATATGTGTATAAAAATAATAATGTTAGCTGTTTTAAAGTACAGGCATACCTTGTAGATATTGTGGGTTTGGTTCCAGAGCACTGCAATAAAGCCAATAATTGCAATAAAGTGAGTCACATGGACTTTTTGGTTTCACAGTGAATATAAAAGTTATGTTTACATTATACTGTAGTCTATTAAGTGTGCAATAGCATTATGAAATATTGTGAGAATTACCAAAATATTACAGAGAATCATGAAGTAGGCACATGCTGTTGGAAAAATGGCACTGATAGACTTGCTCAATGCAGGGTTGCCACAGATCATCAATTGGTAAAAAATGCAGTATCTGCAAGTGGCATTCAAGCAAAGTGCAATAAAATGAGACATGCCTGTAGTTTTTTTTGTTTTGTTTTTACTTTGATATTTTGTTGTTGTTAGGTGCCGTCAAGTCGGCTCCCATTCATACCGACTCAATGGCAGTGAGTGACTTTGATATAAGGTGACTTATTTATTGTGGTCTTTGAGATTTGATAAAGATTTAGGGAATTTATTCATACTCAGTTTTTGAAAACTAACTCTTGAATATTGTTAATGGCTTCTAGTTTGCTGAGTGGAAGAATTTCAACACTTCGAGATGAAACTGGTGCTGTAAGTAGAATAATGTTGCTACTTATTTCTGTTTTAGATCACATGCTTATAATGCTTCATCCTTATTATATTGTGACTTTAAAAAGATGGGAAAGCTGATATTTTAATAACCATTAAATGAAAGTGGCATATATGTACTTACAGTTTTTTTTTTTAAATTTCTTATCATGTAGAATGTTTCTATGAAAATCAAAGCACAGAACCCTAAATAGGGTATACTGCATACAGCAATTTAAGTATTCATATTAGAGAGATTGTAGGATCAGAGCGTACATTGACAATAGAGGAAATAATAGTACTTTAAGCCAATAATGGAAACTTTAATGATAAATATTGTTCTTGTTTGGTCCTGTTAAGTCACTTTCAACTCATGCCAATTCCGTGTGACAGAGTAGAAGTGCCCCATATGGTTTTCTAGGTTGTAATCTTTACAGAGGGAGCTCTGGTAGCATAGTGCCTAAGGCACTTGACTGTTAACCAGAAGCCTGGCGGTTCAAACCCACCAGCCACTCCTTGGAAGGAAGGTTGGGCAATCTACTTCCGTAGTGATACTGCCTCAGAAAGCCAAGGAGGGGTCGCTATGAGTTGGATCCGACTCGAGGGCAAATGACAGCAACAACACAATCTTTACAGGAAGGAGACTTGGTGGTGCAAAGGTTAAGTGTCGAGCTAACTGAAAGGTCAGTTGGTTCAAACCCACCAGCTACTCCACAGGGGAAAAGACCTGTCAATCTGCTCCTGTAAAGATTACAGCCTAAGAAACACTATGGGGCAGTTCTACTCAGTCCCATAGGGTTGCTATGAGTCAAAACAGACTTGATGTCACACACCACCACCAGTCTTTCAGGGGAGCAGATTGACAGGTCTTTCTCGATGGGAAACATCCTATCTGCCAATGTTTTGATTAGCAGCCAAGCTTTTATCCCTCGCACCACCAAGGCTCCTTTAACAATAAATGTTGTTGTTGTTATGTACCATCGAGTCAGACCCAACTCATAGTGACCCCTGCTTGGGTTTCCGAGGTAGTATCACTACGGAAGTGGATTGCGCCATCTTCCGAGGAGTGGCTGGTAGGTTTGAACTGCCAGCGTTCTTGTTAGCAGTCAAGTGCCTTAGGCACTATGCTACCAGAGCTCCCTTAACAATAAATAGATGGATGTAAATGCTAATTTTTTAAAATAATGAGTTAGAATGGTTAAGTGTTATAAACTGATGAAGTTTTACAATTTTTGAGTTATGAGAATAACCTTATAAATTTATGATACTATGGTAGAGTATGGGAATTAAAAAACTGTGAAGTTTAACTGTAAAAGAAGTATTGGTTCATGCATTTAAATAAAACTTGCATGGCAACAAATAAAGTAAATGACTAGTGATAGTGGCAGCTCACAAAAATGGTAAGGCTTTCTGTTTGAGGTCAACTATGTGATCAGTGGTGTTTTTGCTCTGGTGAAATTTGTAGATGAACTAAAGTAGCAGAAACAGGTATGTCTACATGAGATTGTCAAAAAGGCATCAATAATAAGATGTGATAAATTTGTGGTGTTTCTTCAACTCTGATTGGGTCTACTAAAAACAAAAGCAAGAATTTATGACACTAGATGAACTATATTCATTGTATATACACAGTTAATAATAGAAAAAACAGGTTTTTTTGCTACCATTCATATGTCTAATCAACATATAAGCTTTTATTTTAATTTTATTTGTAATTGATTCAAAATAATGTTGCTAGAAGTTTTGGAAAAACTATCAGTTATGTGTTTTCACTAGAAATTACTCATTCCCCTAGACTACTAGGATCATTTTTATGGGAAAATCAGATTTCATTCATATCATTTTGACATCTAGTATTTTATTTTTAGTCAGATACATACCATATGTGACAGTTTTTATTGGCCTTTGCCAAAAGTAGTCTAGCTATGTTTGTGAATGTTACATGGATTGTTTAAAATATGTTGGTTTTCAAATAAACTATTATTTGATTGGAAAGAAAAATCAATGTATTTAATTGGTGGGGAAAGCTTATATGGTCACTGATTAGAATTCTTCAGCTTATTGGAAAAGTGAACCTTTATTTCCTTTAATTAAAAGATAATTAGAATACGTGTTTCTTTACAGTGTACTTTGTAATACTTGACTTGAGTTTCTCAACTTAGATTAAAGATAGCACTTTTAAAATAGCTTTAAAAAAAAAAAAAGTTACCATCGAGTTAATTCTGACTCTTGATAACCCATGTGTTTCAGAATACAAATGGGCTCCGTAGGGTTTTCAGTGACTGATTTTTCAAAAGTAGGTTATCAGCCTTTCTTCAGTGATGACTCTTGGTAAACTTGAACTTCCAACCCTTTGGTTAGCACCTGACCACATTAATCATTTGTACCACCCTGGGACTCCCTTTTAAATAGCAAGTACTTCTTTTCATTCCAAAACTTTTTTTTTTTTAGTGTTTTATTTTATCCTTATATATTCTGTAGTGTTATATTTGTTATTTTTAAAAATGTTTTTGTTGTCACCCCTCCCAAGCCCTTGGGGAAATTAAAGTAGTAGATATAAATATCTGTTAGGGTCATGATAAATAGTTTGCCCTTTTTGTGTTGTGAAAATAATACTCTCTTCCAGTTTTGACAGCAGGGTGCAGTGTTACTTTTTATTTTTACCCTGAGTATATTATAAGTGTTGTTGTTGTTGTTGTTGTTATGTGCCATCGAGTCGGACCCGACTCATAGCGCCCCCTCCTTGGGTTTCCGAGGCAGTATCACTACGGAAGTCGATTGCCCCATCTTCCTTCCAAGGAGTGGCTGGTGGGTTTGAACCGCCAGCCTTCTGGTTAGCAGTCAAGTGCTAAGTATGTTGTTTTAATGATTACATACAGATCTCAAATTATATAAGTCATAATCGCTGTCATCAGTAATTAAAGATTTAACAGTAGTAACAAAGTATTACACATAATATTTTTAAAGAATTTATTGGATCCTATGACATAATTCAAATAACACATTTCCCTCAGGTGACATTTTTAGATTACTGAAAATATCAATAAATGGGATAACCGACTTCCTAGATACTGTTTTTCTTACAAATTAAATTATTATCAATTTTTTTAATAATAGTTTTTCAGAGTAATTAAGACTTTATCACAGTAAATGCATATGATTATAAGCTTCATTCCAGTTTTAGAAACATCATAGAAGGGGAATCTAGAAAGTATAGTATTTAAATAATTTAGTCTTGTTCTCTATTTAGTGTTATAGATATCAAAGTTAGAAATTTGATTTTGACATGAAAATAAAACAGTTCTTCATTTACAGATATTTATTGATAGAGATCCAGCAGCATTTGCACCCATTTTAAATTTTCTTCGGACAAAAGAACTAGACTTAAGGTAAGAAATGCATCCTTTTAAAGTAAATTCTTACTGTTAGGTATGTGGTTTTTGGTATGTTTTATGAAGAAAAAGTTGTTTTTTCAACACCGGTTTTACTTACAAGTTTCCTCAACAAAACTTTCATAGATAAAGGCCCCCATAGTCTATCCTCTTGGAGTGTTCCACCAGCTTCCTAACAAGTTCATCTACTGTCATTCTGTACCCCTTCAGCTCATTCTTCACATGGTAGCCAGAATTGTGTTCTAAAAATAAAATCTGATCAGGTTGCTACTCTGCTTAAAAACTTTATCTGTTATGTTACTGAACTCATAGATATAAGAATTTCAGACTTTATCCTGTTTCTTAAGACTATATATTCTGGCCCCTGCTTAATTTCTCTGACTTTAATGTAATGCTCAGCCCTTTTAGTCTCAGTTTAAACTAACTTCCTCAATGATCTCTCCCATGTTCACCTAATACAGGTATTCATTGTTTCCTATACTGCCACTATTACCACATTCACTACATTATTAACTTTTTCAGTTGTTATTTTTGGGTGATGTTAAGTTGCTTCTGACTCATATCAAGTCCTGGTGGTGCAGTGGTAGCGTTTGACTGCCATCCCAAAGGATGGTGGTTTGAATCCACCTAGCATTACATGGGAGAAAGCCCTGTCGATCTGCTTCCATAAAGGTTATAGTCAAGAAAACTGTATAGGGCAGTTATACTTTGTCACATAAGGTCATTATGAGTTGAAGATTGACTCACTGGCACCTAACAACTACTTTTTTAGTAGTCTGTCTTCTCACCATGGAGCCCTAGTGGCATATAGGTTAAGTGCTCAGCTGCTAACTAAAATATTGGAGGTTTGAACCCACTAGTTGCTCTGAGGGAGAAAAAAAATGGCAACCTGCATCTGTAAAGATTGAAACAAAACAATAAGAACAACAAAAAAATCTGAGTTGATACTCATAAAGACCCTACAGGAGAGGGTAGAAATGCCCCATGGGGTTTTCTAAGGCCTGCAGTCTTCTTTCCAGAAGCAGACTACCTCCCTCATCTTTCTTCTGCAGAGTGCCTGGTGGGTTTGAACTGCAGATCTTTAAGCCAAGTGTTTAACCACTGCCAGCCTTGGAAACCCTGTGATACAGTTCCACTCTGTCCTATAGAGTTGCTATGAGTCGGAGTGTACTTTAGGGCAACAGGTTTGGTTTGTTGTTGTTGTTTTGTTTTTTAAATCTTCTTACAATATTTTAAACTCCAAAAGAGCAAGTACTGTTTGCTCTATGTCCCCATGGCCTGTTATTGTGCTTGCTGCATAGAACTGGTTCAGTACTGTTTCTTTTGCGTTTGTTTTGATAATTGCTGGATTATTTAAACTATTTCTTAAATTGACTATCTGAAAGTGTAATATTGTTTCCTACCAAACTAATTTTCTTATTGTTCTTTTATTTCATATATTCCTGATGAACTTTCATGTACTTTCTATTAATTATTTTTTAGATAAAACTTTAAAAACCTAGTTTATTTGAGCTGGTTTTTTAATATTATATAATTTTTGGCTTACCTTTACTAGCTTCTTGAGGGCAAAGATTTTTTGTCTGTTTTGTTCCCTGCTATGGTCTCAGTACTCAAAGAGTGCATGTAGTAGGTTTTCAACATTTTTGAGCCTATTATTGAATGAATGAAAGAATTTGTTGGGGTTTTTGGTTTGTTTTTTGGCCTGATATTAGGTGGAGGTAGGAACTATATTACAAACTACTTATTTCTTGGGTAAAATAATTTTGACCCATATCATTTGATTAAAGAAGTTTGAATTTACTTCTTGAAGGTCAGTGTCTTTGTGACTTATCCACAACTGGACCCATGAAAGGCAGGATTAGTTTAAATAACTGTGTTTACTGACTGCTTTTATTACAAATTGCTGTCTTATTTCACTTGAGGGGGGGCTTATGTTATTTATTTAAATTCTGAATGATACCTCTCTAAAGAATATGGGAAAAGTGTAAAAAAAAGAAAAAAAAAAAATCTGATCTGATCCTGATCACTAAACTCCTATGTTGCCCTTATATCACAGTTTATTGTAATAATCATATTTGTTTGTCTGTCCTCCCCAGGAGACTAGAACTAATCAAGAATGAATATTTGTGTCCTGATCCACCTTATAATTAGCCAGTACTGCTGTGCTGTTGACATAATGCTTTTGAAACAGAGTAAAAAAAATTTAACCAGTCTCATGTTAAACTAGTGAAAACCAATTCTACAAATATAAGCAATTTACTATTGCAATTTCATGTGTTTACTAAACCAAGGGAATATCTTTAAAGAAATCTAAAATGAATCGTTGGTATTTAAAATTCTTGTTCTTTCATTCTTTTTATTTTACCTTACATTCCTGTACTGCTGTGTAGTAGAATGTTCATCTGGGTAACATACAACATAGTCTTCCTAAAGATTTTTCCCCCCTGTTTTCTGTTTTATTTTGGTTTCTGATAGGAAGAGAACCATTTATCTGAATTTATTCATTCAGCAAATACTTAGTATAAAACTACTAGCACTGTGCTAGGGACTGTATGAAGTATACACAAATAAATCAAAGGTGGATTATGTTTGCAAGTAGCTTATATTATGATTAGGTTAAAATAAGTACAAAAATAATTGTAAAAATTCAAAAGCAATTCATGCCATAAAATAATTTCTACCCTCTTGTTTGCCTTATCAGATACTTCTTGATATTTTACTTACAGTGACCCCATAGAAGTTCTATTCTCTTACTTACATTTAATCTATAGATTAATGATTTTTAAATAATTTAGAAAACATTTTTGTTTGCGTGCAGTTTTTATTTAGACTTTCTCCAAATCATTAGGATATTAGAAATAAAGGATATGATGAAATAAAGAATGTTTTGAAGCTTTATGACTTTGTTCACATTAAGAACTTAGTACTTTTTCCTTTTGCTTCAGATGATAATCCATGTTGCCAGTGTTGGAGAATTTAAATCATTTGTTTGTTTCTTTGAAGGGGAGTGAGTATTAATGTTCTCAGGCATGAAGCAGAATTTTATGGAATTACTCCATTAGGTATGTGTTCTCCTGATATTTTCTGCTTATGATTTGATCTTTTGTGAACAAAACTCACCCAAATGAAATGTATTTTATAACAGCTCCTAATTTTTGATGGAATAGTTCAGCACTTAGTTTTTGTAGATTTTCATATTAAAAAGATGTCAAATCTGAGTTAACTTAAGTATTTTCCTTTTCTTTCCTTATCCTCTTTAACTAGAGAAAATAAAAATGGAGTACTGTTTTTCTGTTTGCATGTACTCTTGACAAGTTTGCTTTGAAATATTTTTAGTAAGAAGGCTTCTCCTATGTGAAGAATTGGAGCGTTCATCTTGTGGCAGTGTCCTGTTTCATGGTTACTTACCTCCACCAGGTATTTCTGTTTTGTTTTATTTAGTCTTTTTAAAAGTTTTATCATTAAGAAAATACAAATATAAGTAGAAAAAACTATTCCTTAGTATTTGAGTTTCTCTTTTACAAATCTAATAGTAATGACTGGAACTTTAATGTTAACAGAAATTAAATCGTATTATAGGGTCGCCGGGAGTCAGAATCGACTTGGTGGCAGTGGGTTTTATATATTAGAACAAAGAATTAGTTGGCAAACTTTTTCTGTGAAGAACTAGATAGATTTGTGGGCTACAAATTCTTTGTGTGGTCTACTCACTATATAAATGAATGGCTGTGGCTGTGTCCAGTACACTTTTTTCTTTTCCCCCACACAAACCGCTCTTAGGCTAGATTTGGTCATCGCCCATAACTTGTTTACTCCTTTGGTGAAACGTTGTTGTCAGATTCCCTTTTGTAGAGCTCCAGGAGTTTTACAGAGATGTGTCAGATATAGGACAAGGCCAGGTGAGGCTCATGTCATCTTGGCCCCTGCTTGAGTTAGAAGAGTTCTGTCTTTTCCTGTGTTATACTGTACTTCTGAACAAGATTTTATTGAAAAAAGAAAAAAATTTGAGTTGCAGCTCTCAGTACCCAACTACCCTGTCGTGGAATGTCATCATCTCATGTTCTGGCAGGAAAGGTTTGTGGGTGAGAAGAGGAAAAGCACCACCTCAGGGAGTTGCTGCCCGTACTCAAGATGGTGGCATTGGGTGGGCATGACTAGGGACTGGGTGGCACAGAGGCAGTAGGATCATGGCAGTGGCTGAGGAATGGAGACACGAGAGGTGAGAAGAGGAGGAAGAACAGTTGGTTCTGGTGGAATTTTCAGGAATTATTGATTCAGACTTTCAAAATGTGAAAACAAATGCAAAATTTTGGAAATTGGCACTGAGAGGCCTATTATGCAGGTGGACAACTATGTCTTTGCTGGAGAGTATAAAAACACTCTTGGGACCTGTGTTATATTTGAAGAAGATGTGAAAGAACATGTAGATGCAGAAGGCAATAATAAAACAGTGCTGAAATACAAATGCCACACAATGAAGAAGCTCAGCCTGACAAGTACTTTTCTGATGGAAAAGAAGGATGGAGAAGAAAACATAGGTGGTATGGAATGGATGCAAATCAAGGATAATGACTCCTCCAATAGACCTAACATGTAGCTTTCTACATGAAAATGAAGATAAAGAAGTTGTAGCTCCAGCTCCAGATAAACCTTTGGAGTTGAGGGAGCAAGAGATTCAAATGAAAGATAATCCAGACCTGAGTTATGAACAGGGGGAACCATTACTCTTGGACATAGAGGATTCTGGTTCTCTTGTTGAGATCCTTTCTTTTGAAACAGAAGGTTTTGTTTTTCTGGAAACTAAAGATGCTGGCTTAGAAGCCACTTCTAGATGAAAGATTTCACATAATATCTAATCATGAACTTTTTAGGTTTTGTATCAAATAATTGACGCTGTAGTTTTGAGTTGTTCATCTATTTTATTCCTTTTGTTGCTAGACACATGTCCAATTATAGCTTAACTTTTTATAGCAGAGTCATTCCAAGACCAGATATGAATTGAATTTAAAACCAAAAACTGGTCTAAATGAATCATAGAGACTCTCCTCTGATGAGTTCTTTAAATTTGGAGGTTTTACTAAGGTAAATATATTAGTTTTCAATTACAGGCATCAAATATTACCATAAACTTGTGTTAGCTGCCATCAAGTCAGCCCCTGACCCGGTGATACCATTCACAATGGGATCGGAACTGACTCTTGGGAAGCCAGCATAAAGACTCCATCCCCTGAAAACAAGTCTCATTTTGCCAGGCTTTTTTTCTTGCTCTATATCCTGCAAAGTTAAGTGAGCATAGTGCTAGATTGGGTCCAGTAAAGCTTATTTGCTCCTGTGAGTGCGACTGTCACCCCAAACCTGTGACTGCTGGTGTTGTTTAGGCAGAGAGAGCATTGCGACTGCCTACCTCTGGCCTTTTGTGTGGAAGATAAATAAACTCTAGTCACTCCGTTATAACCAAACTTAGGCCTAACTGATACATTATGCATTTTAGAAAACATAAAAGATATGGAAAAGCATAAAGAGGTTGAGTGAAAGTTTTCTTCTTTTTATTGTAATTTGAGTGGCAGTTTATGAGTGGATGATTCTTGAGATTTATAATCTTGCAAAAAAAAATTGATGTAGACTATAATATAGTTCATTCTTTTTGATAAAGTAGAGGGTTAGCAAGAAAAAGGAAGGCCCTCAACGAGATGGATTGACACAGTGGCTGCAAGGATGGGCTCCAGCAAAGCAAAGATTGTGAGGCTGGCACAGGACCAGGCAGTGTTCATTCTGTTGTACATAGGTCACACTGACTTGATGGCACCTAACATTAACAACAACATAATATAGTTCTACTCTATGTTGGAGAGGAAAATAAAAGCTTAACTTCTGAAGAGAACATGATATCTTTTAGCTCCCTTCATATTAATAAGAAATGTTTGGAATTTAGTAAAATTAAAATCTTATTTTTCAAATATGTATTATTTTGTGAATCTAAAACTTCATCTATGAATTTTTCTGCCATTAATCAACTAACTACCTTACTAACTTGAATGGCTTTCAAACTAATCTTAGAACCATAATTCCTATATAACTGTCATAATAAATACTACTTTTGACACTGAATGCACTGGATTGCTTTTGCCTACAAATAATTATATTCTACTTAAAAAGGATCATATTGTTAAGGTGCATCATGAAGAATTATTCTTCATAGTCATTAAAGAAATGTTTTGAAAATCCAACCGTTTTGTCATTATATACTCCATTGCTGGTCATAACAAATTTCCTGACAGGTATAGTCAGCATAGTTAAATTGTTGATGATATTATACTTTTCAACTCATATAGCAGCAATTTTTTAGAATCTACCGTTTTCAACAGCTTATGTGAAATTGATCAGGACTGCATAGTCTTATCTTCCAGAAATGTTTTCATTGATTCTGAAAATGGATTTGCCATCTCTTTTCTGTGATTTCCACCGTTATTTCCTCATGGAATAAATAAATTATTTTTATAATGTTGCCTAGCAATACATTTTGTATTAATAAAATAAAGAATGGTTATTTAAAAAAACAAAACAAAACAAAACCATCCCTTGCCAAATACAAGAAATTTGAACATACAGGAAAATTCAGATCTAAAGCACTTAAAATAGTGCATAGTACATAGCACACAGTATCTTTTACATAATTTTAAAGACTAACAGACTGAATGATTTAATTATTAGTTTTGGAATCTAGTCCAATGAATCTTCTAGATTCCTGTTCAGAAGAAGAATCAGCACAAAGCCAGTTCCTGTGAGGTGGAGATAAGACACAATTTTTCTGCTCTCCAACTTCTTCATCATTTCTGACACCAGTGGTCCTCTTACAGCACCCTCTACTTCTCTTCTTGGTTTGATAATTTATTGCAGTAGCCACACAGAACTCATAGACCATAGTTAACAGTTGTATGATTTATTAGGGTAGTAATAGGCACAAACTTAGGATCAACTTGGAAGTATCAGGAGCACCTCAGGATCATGACTCACTTACATAGGCCTTGGAAGGCTCCCCCAAGGCAGAGAATACATCCTTCTTTTCTTCAGTGCAGGACAGCTCTCTCACTCCTGTTAGCCAGCAAGCAGGCAAGCCCTTCTCTTGGCCTTGTCTGCTGCCTCTTGACTGTGTAGACCAGCTCTTCTTTAGCGTCCTTACTGCTAACTGACCCAAATCATAAGCCAATGTAGCAGCAGCTTTCTGCCATCTCCACTGACACTGCCACTGTACCCATTTTAGGCCTCTGGCAATATTCAGTGTACAGCCCTTGACCCCTATTATAGCTCTTTTAGGAGGTTCCTTGTCACCTCTTTCTCTGCTTCTCTCTTCTGGCCTTTCTCCTGGCCTCTAAAAAAATCTGTGGGATTGGCTGTGTATATAAGCAAACTCCATGACAGTTTTAAGGCATCGCCTTTTGAGCAGAACCACCAGTTGACCAATCCCTTTCGTGGATGACAAGTCACTCAACCTATTGGGTAGTTTTACGTACCACCGTTTGCATCATTAATCAACCAGTCCTGCATGGGGTGTAAAGTAGACAAATCACAGGGCATACTGCAGCTCAAGTCCAGACAAAAAGTATCAAACCATCAGGTTGTTTACAGCTTACCCAGGATATGTCAATCAACCTGGACAAAAGTAACAAATTCTCTGGGATAGAAAACAACCTGGGAAACCCTCCTACCTCTCTGCTCCTTCCCCAAGTTGCTTATGAACTGTTGTTGTTGTTAAGTGCCATCGAGTCATTTCCGACTCATAGCGACCCCATGCACAGCAGAACGAAACACTGCCCGATCCCACGCCAGCCCCACAATCCCTGCTATACTTGAGCCCATCATTGCAGCCACCGTGTCAGTCCATCTCGTTGAAGGCCT